CCCCGTCCGCCCGCCCGCCCGCCCGCAGTGCTCCGTTCTGCCTGCCTGCCTGCCTTCGTTAATGGTTGAATCGGAACAGCTTCGGCTGAGTAAAAGAGGCGAATAGTTATTATTCTCAGCCGAAGCTGCTCCCAAACAACCAGAAACTAAGGCAGGCAGGCAGGCAGGCAGAATGGGACACTGTGGATTGAAGCGCGCGCGCGGGGTGGGAGTGTGGGTGAAACGGGCGCTTCGGAATAGCTGCGGCGACAGGAAAAGCCCCCCCCCCGCTTCTTTGAAGCAGTTTCTTCCTTGGATGGTGGAGCAGCGAGAGAGCGAAGCCTCCTTCTCTTCTCTTCCCCCCCCCCCCCCGGTCCTTGCAAAAATTTTCTGCTTGAAACCGGTCCCTGGTACAAAAAAGGTTGGGGACCACTGATTTACCTTATAAGTGGTAATAATATTAATAAAAAAAAAGTTCTGAGCTACCCTTATTTTGCTTCAAAGTTTTTATTTAGAAATTTAATTTTTTTTCCTGAAATTTCCCTCTTAAAATGAAGATGCGTGTTATACGCCTGTGCGTGTTATACGCCGATAAATACGGTAAATACATGAATACTCTATATTGGAATTTAACAGCAAACTCTAGCAGAAGATAAGAATCCTTTATATTATTCACTTTCATAGAAAGCATACGTGCGTTTTAATTCCTTGTTACTAAAATATGCTAAGCTTAAGAATCTTTTTATAAGATTCACCAATCTGAGAAAGATTGTTTTTCTAAAAGAGGTTGTTTTCCAAATCAATAAAAACTAGTTGTTACACCAATAATATGTTGATTATTACAATTATACTTGTAAGGATACACATAGTTTGTCTAGCCTATATGCCATGCTATCTGCACTGCTTAATAATTCTCCGTGAAGAATACAGGGGCACAAGTGAGAGGTATTTATTTTTTGTATTTACATTTCAACTGAGAAATCAAGATGATTATTTGGAGACACCCCTCCCCTAATTTTATCTCTCCCAAAAATGGTCTTAGTAGATAGATCAGAGTAGGAGAGAAAGATTAATCCAAATTTACTCAGTGAGTTGTATGCCCAATAAGGTTGAAACCTATTATCTCCTTCAATCTAATTCCAATATGCTAACTCTGTTAGCAGCTCTGGGTAAATATATTCTATTAATATTTATGTTTTAATTTTTATTGAATATTTCATTTTTTTTCTTATCCCTGGCAAGGTAACTATCATGCCATAACCAACTTTTAAGCCACGGCAAAAAAAAATATTGCTGACTTGTAAATTAATGCAGAAAGAGTTATATGAATATCTCTCATCCCTTCAGAACAGAAAAACAAGGATGCACTTAGCTAAAAATTATTAAATTATCTTTGTGAAACTTTCAAATTTTTTATACACACACTTAAAACACTATACTTGTATTTTATAAAAATACAATATTAGTCATAATAATATTGAATAGTCAGGTTCTAAAATTAACAAGTAAGAAATTCAAGCTGGAATCTTACTTACTCTATAATTATCCATTAAAACAGCCAACCAAGGTTTTATTGTCTTCATTATATCTTCAATCAAGTGCTCTTCAACCATAGAACCATCATGGAAGGTCAAATTTCCAACATGGATAGATTTTCTTATGTTTGGCAGTGATAATAGCTTTCCAAAATATTCCTGATCTTCAGGCTCCTGTTATTAAAATGATAAAGAAAAAGAACACATGCAAAAGTATTTCATCAAAGCAAGAAAATAAATTAATACATGTTAGATAATTCTGCTTTCTTTCTTATAGCAGCCAATTGTACTTAACAGTGTGTCTGTGAGAACTGAAACAATTTGACCTTGCAGTTTCATTTTCAAGTTTGAAATGTTTTCTGTTTTTCACTGATTAATGTAAATACACTAAATCAGTTCTGATGCTGGAATATTACTTCACTAGTTGCTCTTTTAAATAAGGGTTGGCTGGACCAGAACCAACAGCCCAACTCATTCAGCATACTGGCAACAGGGTTTTTATACTATTTGCCCTAAGTATCTTATACAAAACTTTAAAATACGAAAAAAATCTATGTAGATAACCTAGCCAATAGCTTTAGACCACAGGTCTGGAAATAAAAAAAATATCTCCTCAGGAAGAATGAATTTTTGCAGAGCAAACAGAGAGAATGAGTTAGGACACTGATGAAGAGAAAGATACCTATGTTAGTATAGCAGTAACGTTGTCTTCATTGACCTCTTGATCTAGTAAAACAAATAACTGGCTATGAGGGCTTAAACTTAAAGAGCATCAGGTTCCCAACAATTCAAACCTGAGTTACAAATATTCTCTTCTATGGCACTACAATTCTGGTCATAAAGAAAAGAAGGGATCTTTCCTGCAAGCCTTCAAAGACAGAACAGAGTAAATCCATTCTATCATCTGGTCTGGTTGGTTTTTGCAGAAATTCATACCACTATCATCTTTTTGGGTCTATAGATTAAACATGTATAAATACAGTGCATTCATAAAGTATTCAGACCTCCTTCACTTTGTCAATTTTAAACTGATTCTACAGTTGTAATTCATTTTTTTCTCATTAATCCCCACTCAGTATCCCATAATGACAAAAGTGAAAACAGAACTTTAGAAATGTCTGTAAATTTATTAAAAAGAAAAACACTGAAATATCACATTGGTATAAGTATTTAGACTCTTCACTTTGTTGAAGCATCCTGGGCAGCAATTACAGCCTTGAGTCTTTTGGGGTATGATGTGACAAGCTTTGCATACCTGGACTGGTGAGTTTTCTGCCATTCTTCCTTGCGGATCCTCTCAAGTGCAGTCAGGTTGGATGGTAACCATTGGTGAACAGCCATTTTCAGCTCCCTCCAGAAATGTTCAATAGGGTTCAAGTCAAGGCTCTGGCCACCCATGTGTTGTCTTGGCTTTGTGCTTAGGATCGTTGTCATGTTGGAGAGTGAACCTTTGGCCCAGTCTGAGGTCCCAAGCACTGTGGGTTTCATTGAGGATATCCTCCATTCAGCTTTCCCTCACCTCTGACCAGTCTCACAGTCCCTGCTGCTGAAAAACACCCCCATATAATGCTGCCACCAACATACTTCCCTGTTGGAATGATATTGGGCAAGTGATGAGCATGTCTGGTTTCTTCCAGACATAACATTTAGAATTGAGGCCAAATAGCTCAATCTTGGTTTCATCAGACCAGAGAATCTTGTTTCACAATCTGAGAGTCCTTCAGGTGTTTGTTTGTCTGTTTTGCCATAACAGTGGAGGGCTGCAGTGATAGTTGTCCTTCTGGAACTCTGTCCCATCTCCACACAGTATCTTTATAACTCAATCAGAGTGACTATCAGGTTTACTAAGGCCCTTCTCCCAATTGCTCTGTTTGACCGGTTGACCAGCTCTTGGAAGAGTCCTGGTTATGCCAAAATTCTTCCATTTCAGAATTATTGCTCAGTTTGACCGGGTGACCAGTTCTTGGAAGAGTCCTGGTTATGCCAAAACTCTTCCATTTCAGAATTATGGAGGCTACTGTGCTCCTAGGAACCTTCAGCATAGCAGCCTCTATAATGCTGAAATGGAAGAAGTTTGTTGTAGCCTTCCCCAGATCTGTCCTGTCTCTGAGTTCTGCAGGCAGTTCCTTTGACCTCATGTCTTTGGTTCTGCTACAGTAGGAGTGCCAAACTTGCAGCCTGTGGGCTGGATGCGTGACGCACTGGCACACCCACCCACATTTTAGCGAAGGGGGGAGAAGTCACAATACATCATGTGACGACAATGCGATGCTGTGAGTTTGACACCCCTGTGCTACAGTATGCATTGTCACCTGTGAGGCTTTCTATAGAAAGAATGTGCCTTTCCAAATCATGTCTCATAAGTTTAATTTACCATAGGTAGACTCCAATCAAGGTGTAAAAATATATCAGCGACGACCAAGAGAAATGGGAGGCACCTGAGCTAAATTTCAAGCGTTGTTGCAAAGGGTCTGAACAGTTAATGTCAATGTGATATTTCAGTTTTTCTTTTTAATACATTTACAAACATATCTAAAATTCTGTTTTCACTTTGTCATTATGAGTGTAGATTAATGAGAAAAAATGATTTTCAACAACTGTAATATCAGGCTGCAGCATGACAAAATTGACAAAAGTGAAGGGGGTCTGAATACTTTCTGAATTCACTTACATTTTCAATATATCTGCCTTTTCTCATAAGTACTTACATTGCACTGCAAGAAATTGAAATAGTTGCTACATCCTGTAACATTCTGAATATAAGGATTTCCAGTTTTATCACCATTCAACAGAATATCAAATACCTGATGAAGAAAATCATGTAAGTTCAACTTGTTCATTTTCATTGCTGAATATGTCAATTGTTCATTGGTCTACAGTTACCACAGCTAGAAAAGAAAAATTGATAAAATATATTTTCACTAACAAATACTAAAAGAAAGATCCCTCTTTGCATCAAGACCCAACTGAATACCATGTTTCAAGTCATAAAAGAAAACTAACTCAATCAAATGTCTCCAAAATAAGTTGAGAGGAAATGTCATTTTGTTCCTTGGAAAAAGTATGGACTAGATGACCTGGGCCCTTTCAGTCTGAACCAGCAAACATTTTCTTCTCCTTATGTAAAACAGAAGCTATTGCAGTTATTATTCCAGAGATTAAGCTTGCTTGCATGATATCAGCAAAAGTCAGTGTAACAATTATTTTTAAATAAACCAAGTTTTTTTTTTTTTCTTCTTTTTTAAGACGATTTTGTAAAATACTATATGGAAGATTCATTAGATTGTTAGAATGCAAGATGCTACAATGTCACTCACGTCAGTTAATTGTGTATGGTAACTAACCTCTTTACTTTTTTTTCTAGTGACTGAAAAAAAAATTAGAATACTTATTTGTGGATAGAAAAGATATGATAAATATGTCTAAGCACCCTCACAACTTCCAAGATTACTTTTCTTCCAATTTCTGGAAGTAAGGAAAAGCTTTAGGACATTCAGAAATCAACATTAAGAAAGTAAGGCAATTCATAAAAGAGATGCCTATGTAAACACACACTCAAGTGTTCAAGTTTGAAGGGAGTCCAATGTAAACTTTAGAGGAACATAGGAGAATGACTTCTCTCCCTATTAGTTTTCTTTTTGCTGCTGCTGCAATCAAGTTTGTGACCTCCATTTGATTTCCTTCTGACCCCTTATTCTGCTCAGATAGTTTTAATTGCTGAAGGCCATCATGTGGGCCTCTATGACATACTTCAAAGGCTTCTTTCCATTTCTTCTGCTGGATGTATTGTTGTCCCAGATTAGTCTGATTCTGAACATATATCCTCTGCTTTTCATCTACCAAGCCAATCTGATATAAAAATTCTGCATAGCCTCCCAGCATCTGATCAAGAAAATGAACACTATTAGTCATGATTATTTTCATTTTAAAAAGTCATTTAAAAGATTGAAAAAAAACACAACAAAATCAATACATTTTTGCTGAATTTTGTACACTTTTACACTTTTGTAACACTATACACTGACATTGTAATAAAATGTCAATGGCTTTTAAACAACCATCTTGCTAGGGTTGCACCTAATTTGAAATAATATATTTAAGGTTAAAAGCATTTTAACAGACTAGATATCGATCAGGATTATGCTCTTTTGAGGTCTGCAATTTCAGAATATAAAAAATATAGAAATCATACCACTTCAGGGTCACAAAGACCATCCCCAATGGCAACACCTTTGAAGTTGATCTTTATCTTTGCTGTAGGATTATTGCTATGAATATAATATCCAATGGCTGGCACATATTTTCCTGCATAAGACTAAAGATAATACAACGGTTGAATCATTAATATGTAGAGATTTTTTATTATATTGTATATAAACTAGTAGGCTGATACCCTTAGTTAATCAAGAGCTTCAGATGTATGCAAATTTCAATATCCAGGCAATATCTGAACAGCGGCACATTAGGTAAGACTGTTATATTTGCTTACCACAATATCTTAAGGGTTCACATCTTTCTTTGGAAATAAAAATAGAATATGAAAATGTTCTGTGTTAAGAAATCCCTTTATGTCTTCTTTCTTGGTCAATTGGTATCAAAAGAAAATTATACATTTGTTTAAATAAAAGAAAAGGAAAGGAATTTAAATTCTTTATGTTCAAGCTAATGCTACAGGTTAAATTCGGAGGTCAAAATTAACTTCTGGCTGAAAAATCTGAAAAAAAAGAAAATAACTTTGTTTTCAACCCCTGTTTTCTAAAACAATAAAGAGGGCTACTTACAATTCCCTTGCCTGGTCTTTTATGGAATTACCTGTATTATTTTACAAAGTTTAAATCTGAATTCCTGTATGCTCACGTATATAAGCTCTACAACTCAGAATGTTAACAAGGGTAACTGGAAAAAACACTGTCTTTCTTCTATTTGTTCTGAGCTACGGTGGCGCAAGTGATTAGAATGCAGTACTGCAGGCTAATTCTACTGACTGCCAGAAGTTTAGGAGTTCGAATCTTATCAACTCAAGGTTGAATCAGCCTTCCATCCTTCCAAGGGCAGTGGAAGGGCTATAAAGCACTGTGAAGTGGTATATAAATCTAAGTGATATTTACCTTTCTTGCGGGAGAATTGATTATTCTCTCAAAAAGTACTTATAGAAAGTTTCAATGGAGCCTCCAATATTAAAGTAACTTAAATTAGAGCTGATAAATCAGTGCCATTTAATAAAAGACAGTTTAATTATTATGCTTTCCAAGTACAATTCATGATATAACCTTTATCAATTCTGCTTGCATGATTGCATAATGATATCACATTTAGAATTAGAACAGAACAGGGTGGGATTCAACCAGTGTTACTACTGGTTCGGTGACTATGTTTTGCGTGCACATGCACGCTTTGCTGCACGGGTGTGTAAAAAAAAAAAAATCAGCTGTGCTGCCCAGACAGCTGAAAAGCGCTGTGCACGGGTTTGCAGCATTTGAAAAGCCTCTTTTTTCCTGCTTTTTCAACCTCAGCTGTGTTGCGCAAAGCAGCTGAGGTTGAAAAAGCAGGAAATAAAGGACAGGTAAGAGCCCGGGTGGGCAGGTGGGCCAAACAGTAGCAAACACAGAACCGGTTCGGTGTCTGCTGCTCTTCAGAGCTACAGGTTCTATAGAACTGGGCAGAACCGGTAGCATCCCACCTCTGGAACAGAATATATTGTTCCAAATGTTATCTCATTTTGAAATAAATTTTGCTGAGTAACCAAATTACCTGTCTAGAACTCTTGCTGGTTACTGTCTATCAGCAATTGTATTAATTAATAGAAGTTTTATTTCTTCTAAGCATTTAACATACAAAGTTAATAGAATATGTTTGTATTTAAATAGAAATTTACACTCACAAATTGACAAATGTTTAAGCAAACTTACTTCTCCAGTTGCATAGAAGTCATTTTTCTGATAATCAGGAAAAAGCTGGAAAAACTGAACAATTGCACTGAAATGCAGATATAGTATCAATTAATACACACACTGAGAAACTGTAGTATAAGCTCAGAACTCACTTTTTGGTCCATGGAGGAAGCCAGATTTGCTTAATGATTACACAGTTCACTTAACATCTGCAGTGGTTCACTTTACAGTCATGATGAAAAATTGGGCATAACTAACTTAACAACCACCCAGGCTTAGGAATGGATATTTAGGTTTCAATTTTTGTCATAAGTCAGGACAACCTGTAAATATTAAATACTTTTTATAAATGTTTTATGTTATTTTTACAACCAAACCATCTTCCCTTTGAATGTAAATATTAAATTTATGCAACTCATTCAAAGAGATCCTTCACAACTGTGTTAGCATGAGCAAAGCACCACACCTTGAAGTATTAAAACCAGTCATGCATATCCTATGGAAGTATTGCATGGCTGCTATGAATGCTCTCCTTGGCTTTCTGTGTGTATTTAAGTGAGATAATCCTGCACAGCTGCTCCAACAGATGCACACATACATACATGGACAAGCAGGGATACATGGATATCTGGAAACAATAAAGAAGCCTTATAAAAGACAGATGCTTTAATACTTCAAAGATTGCTGCAAATGCTTTGCTCAGGTTTAGTTCTAAATCTCTACAAAAAGTTGTGCAGGACTTACTTTTGTGCTTATTTTAATGGAAAAAAGGAGAAATTCAGCTTTAACTTACCTATACAAATCCCTTCCTACATCATCTTCATTCTTCGCATATCCTTTCAGATCATCTGTAAAACTGAAGCCAGTTCCAACCTGATAGTTAAAGAGAACCAAGACATGTGAGGACAAAGAATTTCAGTTTTTTACTGATGTTTTCCACATCAAATAAAACTAACTATCAAATTAACTATATAGTTTTTCCTACAGCTATAAATTGTTTTAGTCTGGTTTTGCACTTAGTCTATATTCATGTCTATTCTGAAGTCAATTACATCAATTTCATTAATTTCATCAAGACCAATGGGCAAATTTGTAAATTAGTAAGTTGTTTCGATATTTGTATATTTTTATTATATTGTAAGCCACTCAGAGTTGCCTTGAACCCTGAGATAGATATCAAATAAATTTAAGGATAAGAGAGGAGGAGGAGGAGGAAATAAGGTAAGATTTCCTATTAGAAAATCTGGATTCCCATTTTTCTCTTTTTTTTCAGGAATAACTTATGTGAGTCCTTTTTATGTAGTAGTAATAAACTTTTAGTTGTTGATTGGACTGTTGATGGCTGGCTATTAAGTCATTGGCTCTTATTTCCTTGTGCTGCCAAGTCTTCTGCTTTTAAGTACCTGATAAACTGGTGGTAAATCAGCATTACTATTGCTGATAGAAACACTCTTCCTTTAATATGGGGGTGCCTATACCATGATGCTATTCATACTATAAAGAATTGATGTTCAAGTTTGTATTTTAATTAAAATATTATTCATTCTTAACTTACTGGGTTGTCAATATACAGCATGGAGAACTTAGAGGTCCAAGGAAACTTTCGTTCAGTCACTGTTAAAGGAAGCAAAGCAGAATAAGATTTCAGCTACCATCAATATACCAAACTGTGGAAATATGAGGTGAATTCGGCATACCCAAATACATTTTGGATATATCACCCTCCCCCCCGAAATAAAAATAAAAATAAAATAGTAATAATAATAATATTTCCAAGTATAGGATTTGGGCTCTGAATTCCTGTGTAATGCCTTTACCAATGATGCTAACATAAAACAACTTATGATCAATTCTTCTATATGTTAGTCTAAGTTAATATTTCTAATATATTTATCTACATTGTCCTTGTGATTAAAGATATATTTAAAATGCATTGCAGGTAGTCCTCAAGTAACTGGCTTGGGGACCAATGCGTGTTTTGCATTCTGAAAGTGAATAATGGATTACAAAATGCCCCACTTCCTCCCTGTGTGGACATTGTTCCCTTTTTTACCATCTTGGTTAATTTAGTTTTAACTTCATTTTAAAGATCTTTATTGTAATTTTAATGTTTTGCATTACTGAATAAGCTTACATTACTCAGTAAGCTGACAATATAGGCAGCTTATAAGTTTATTAAATAAATAAAATAAAGTTATTACCATAATTGAACCCGCAATTTTAATTGTACATCATGATGGCTATAAAATGGATTATCAAGTGACCAGACTCAATTATAGAACCTTTTTTTGTAGCAATTATTAAGCAAATACAGTGGTTATACAAGCAAACCAATTGTTCAAATTGGGGTGTGATTTGCTGGAAACTAGAAGGAAATACATGTTTCTGATAAAAATGTTATCAGATGGTCATTTGGCTTGCAGAATGCTGCAAAATATGGTCATGTGACCACAGGTGGGTGAGGCCTGGATTTTGGAACTTTGAAACCAGATTATGTCCCATTTTGGAGGTTTGTTATAACTTCTAACTAAGACTGGTCATAAGTCAAGGACCACCTATATGAGATCAGTTTTCATGACTAATTCTACTTTAGTCCAATTAGTAAATTATTTATTTATTTGTTGAATTTATATTGCTGCCTATTCTACTTTCAAGTTATTTTTATTTCAGGATGGTGTAACATGTTAAGAGTAACATTTAATTTTAATTAATATGTATATATTCAATACCTTCAACTATGTATTAATCCCACAGTCCATGCATCTAGGATTTTAAGTGTAATTTTGCTTTTATTTTATAACATTTTAATTGAGTGGGGCTCCTTATTTCTTGCCAGTAAAAAACAGAGATTAGTAATATCTAGCAAATAAACAGGAAACATGACAATGTTATTTGTGCTTAAAGTTGAAAAGATATTATTTTCAAGCTGACAGACTGACCCAAGTTTTGTAACATTGAGTTTTAGCCATATTTCATCTCAAACATAAATGTCAGTTTTGCATCAGCAAATATCCACTTCCTTACTTACACTTAAAATTTGGGGGGGAAATGAATTGTAAAAAAAATGAATATTCAGAAATAAAAATAAAAATACTCCCATGTACTACACTAGAAACAAATAAAATACTTGCAAGAGAGGTTCTTCTGAACAACATATGGCCCATGTTCAACAAAGAGGCCAAACATAGATGTTCCTCCAGGTCCACCTTGGAGCCATAGTAAGACAGGAGCCTTTTCTGGCTGATCCTGAAACCATAAGAACAAAAAGATTGGAACTATTGTTGCATGTGCTGAAATACTGTGTTTATTTTAACAGATTATAAGGGTTAGGGTTGTCATGGTTTTATTTTATTCTACTTGATCTTCCATATCATGGTTGTTATCAAATTCATTATGTGTGATGACTGTTAGGAATATAAGTCACCTAACAGGTATTTGGGTTAGAAATATATAAACCAGGATAAACATTTTAAAACTGTATCTTTAAGAAAATGCAAAACTGTAATTAGGTGTGGTTTCTCAAACGGCCATAAGATGGAGCCAGAAATCTGGTTTGTTTTAGTCTGAGTCTCAGAAGAGAGTGTGAGTGTATCTCTGTTTCCTTCTGTTGGAAAGAGTTGCCGTTCTTCCATTTCTTCTAATTGACTGATATTACTGGATTTAATGTAAGTCTGATACTGAACTGTTTTTTGACACTGGACTTTGATATTTGGATTATCCCTGGATTGAAAACTGACTGATTTAACTTGTGAATGACTTTGGATTGCTTATTTTGGAGTTTGCTTAAACTTTTCTGGAAGTAAAAAAACCTACATTTACTGTACAGTGTATCTGTGTGCTCTGTGTATATTATTCAAACACTTCTCTCAAATACGCCTCCCTGTATGCGCTCATTCTCCTAACGGGGAATTACCTCAACAATGACTCTCATGGATGCTTCCCCAGATACCACTCTAGAATGTCACCTTGAAGTAGGATGAACCAGTTCCAAGCATGTCTGGAGGGGAGATGGTCAATGGCTCCAAGTATCTTTTTGGGAGGGATTTGGCTGAAGCATAGCTGCAAAAGAGCTGCCTGAGGCTTCATGTGGGAAAAGCACACAACTGCAGCCAGTCAATGATGAAGAAGAGGAACTGCTTTTTGCATTTGATCCAAGAACAAGTAGGACAGAGAAAAGGCAGGAACAAAGAAGGTCAGCCAGATTACTCATGAGAAGAAAGCCTCACGCTTCTTGATATGCTGAAACAGAAGCTGGCTATTTAAGACAAGCAGACAGATGGCAGTGATGATGGGAACATGTTCATTTCCTAACTCTTGTGTTTTCTAGTCGTTATGATTCTTGCCTTGGTTTGGAATGACATTGTGCCTTGACTTGGATCGTGCCTTGTGAACTTTGGACTTTTTTTGCCTCGTGAACCTTCTTTTACTGTGGATTTAATTTTGCCTGGTGGGCTTATTTTGATTGGGAAATTTTCAACTGCCTCATGGACTCATGGCCATTGCTCTGTGAACTAGCATTGGTCTGCTTGTGGCTGGACTTAATTGGGATAGTTTTGGGTTTTTGGTGGTCGTTTAGGAATACTAACAAACCCACTAAACCATTGTTAAGTGTGAGTGTGTGTGTGAGAGAGAGAGCAGGACAGCACAATATGAGGGTTTTTGACTACTATTCTTAAATGGGGCATTGGTGCTTACCTGATACACCTATTCTCAGTGAGCTGTGAAGAGTATCCAGGCATAGGAGGTGCTTCTGTCTCTCATTTTATAGGCTGAGCTGATTTCTGAGGACACTCCTTCTTGTGGCTCCTCCCTAGTGTCCCCAGTTTTGGCAAAATTGAACTGATAAGTTCACAGTTGTTCTCTTTCACCTTTGCTCTGCATAGTTGGCCAGGAACCACACCAGACAGTCTCTGGGTGGGGCTGGATGTTCTTCACAACTCACTGAGAATGGGCATATCTGGTAAGCACCAACGCCCCTTCTCCAGATGAGCTGCTCAGAGCATCCAGGCATGGGACATACCAAAGCTGGTGTGTCCTACAGGAGGGTCTCCATCTGGTCTGGAGTCCCCTTTTTACATGTGGACCCTTTGTAATAACTGTCTGCCGAAGGCTGATTCCACGGAAGCAAAAATGTCCAGTTTATAGTGCCTTATGAAAGGCAACAGTGATGCCACATTGCCGCCCTACAAATCTTGTCGATTGACGCTTGAATAGCCCAAGCCGCCAAAGTTGCAGCACTCCTAGTTGAGTGTGCCATAATACCTGTTGGTATGGGCAGTGACTGTGCTTTGTAAGTCTTTGCAATCGTGGCTCAGAGCCACCTGCCAACTGTCGATGAGTAGAAGGTTGAAAGGAGACGAAGAGGGACTCCGTCTTCCTAAATGAGGCAGTCCTGTTTATCTAGATATGGAAGGCATGTCATACATCTAATAGATGCCATTGTCGCTCTAGTCCGTGAGCTGGTTTAGGACAGAAGTTGGGGAGTATCAACTCCTGTGCTCTGTGGAATCGAATTAATTTTGGGAATGAAGGTTGGATCTAAGCAAAGACTACTCTGTTGGAATGAAAAATAGAGAGATCTTGTCTTACTGACAGGGCGGCTAGCTCAGAAATTCTTCTTGCAAATGTTATCGCTACTAAGAACACTAAGTAGGTGGAGACTTGTGGTTCTCAGAGACTCAAAAGGTTGTTTTGTGAGTGCTGTGAGAACCTTGTTTAGATCCCAGGTGGTGTATCTGTGGACCACTGGGGGTCTCCATGGCCCCATGGAGAAAACTTCATATTCTTGGGTGATGAGCGAGGGATCGTAAGTCACCACAGGGAATGATTGATGCTAAGGCCGCCACCTATCTACGTAAGGTGTTTGGTGAGAGTCCTTTGTCTAAACCTTCCTGGAGAAAGTCCAGTATTTGAGCCACCGATGGAGATATGGGGTCTATTTTTACCTTGTCCCATCACCTGCAGAAGATATTCCAGGTAGCATTGTATATACAGTTGGTGGACGGACATCTGGACACATGGATCATTGAGATGACTTTATTGAAGAGTTTCTTGCCTTTTAGGAGTCTCCACTCAAGCGCCATATGGCTAAGTGTAGCCACTGTAGGTCCAGATGTTGAATTGGACCCTGTGTGAGTGAGACACTGTCCGGCGGAATTCTCCATGGATCTGCGATCAATAGATCCCTGAGATCTGTGAGCCATGGACATCTGGGCCAGTATGGTGCCACCAACAAAAGTTCTGCTCTCTCCTCCAGAAGTTTCCAGAAATCAGCAGGACAGGAGGGAAGGCATATAAGAGACCTCGAGGCCAGTGGCAGCATAGAGCGTTGACTCCCTCCATTCCTTGTGTTGGAAATCTGGAAAAGAGCCTCAGGAGCTGCATGTTGAATGGCGAGGCAAAGAGGTCCAGGATCGGTTGGCCGAAACGTGTGACATCTCCTGGAACAGTCTCGGGTGCAGGTGCCACACTGACCAGGTCATGCAATACAGGAAGACAATTACACGAGCTGGAACAAATCGTGTCAGTGTCTTTCCAAGACAATGTTTCATTGTTGTCTGAGTCAGAGCAGCTAGAAGATATATCAGAAGATGAGGGGTTTGGCCCCAGATCAACCGATATTCACAGGGCTATTCTGCCCACACCTATTTAAGCCCTTATTATTTAAGGCAAAAAACACAGCATGCCTCAACAATCTGACCACTATCTCCCAACCACCTTCAACACAGGAGGAGTCTGATGACTTAATTTTTTCACAACTTATTACTGAGGCAGAGATTATTCCCGTGCCGCAAATGTTCAATGATATAGTCAAGAAGCAGTGGACCTGCACAGGCACTTATCCCAACCCAATGGGATATGATAAATTCTACAACCTAGCGCCAGATTTTTCTGGTAATATCACTCACCCTTTAAAAATCCTCTTTAAAAAGTAACTGTTACAAAAAAAAAAAAAAAGAATTTTGCAAAAATCCTATTTCCTCGAATCAGTATAAAGAAAACTGCCTTGTTATCTTTTTAACAAGTGATCTAGTCACTAATTGTAATCAAAGATCTAACTTCTTATCAAATGTTTATGTATGCTTATGCCCACATGCAGAAATACCTCAATACAATGCTCTACTGTGTCAATCGTTCTTTTATAAAATTCCCAATGGAAACAGTTGGTCTGTGTTTGCCTACTTTTAGGTAGGCTGTAAATCCTGCTTTGTTTAGGCTAGTCTTTGATGGGTTTAAGGTAGTATTCTACTCTCTAAATGTTTCAACATGAGTTGCCCTGTTCTTAATTCGATTGTTTTGATAAGGGAATGTTTTTACAGCTGCATAAAGCCAGAAGGAACCTTTCAGACAGAAAGATTCATAAATATTTTAAAAAATCAAACACCTGCACAGTCTTTAATTGTTGATATTCAGATAAAAGAAAGTTGCAGATTTTATAATAAGAGACAGAAAAGCATAAACCTATGTCCCTAAATGCATGTGGAACAGATCTAGATTATCTGAAACTCTATTACGAAACTCTAGACTAACAAAATCTGCTCAAAGGTAAACTAGCATAATAGAATGAAGTGTAACTCCAAAACAATGTCTCCCCCAGGATTTCTATACATTGCAATTTGAAGATAAAAATAATAAAACCTTGAGAAACCTTGAGAAATTTCAGGGATATTTATTTCATTATTATTTTTTCATGATTACCTGAGTAAGTCCTGGGGAAAAGCATTCAGATTCTCCTCTAAATAAAACATTATTGCCAATCCTTTTTTCCCCTATCTTTTATCCATTATATCAAATGATTATAAATAAAATAAACTCAAGAATATAGCCACCACCATCATACCAGCTGAGATTACAACTGCATTGTTAACATAACAATTCATGTTTTAACTTTAACTTGTATTGGTATTCTTGTTCAAAACTATATTTTCCACATATCCCAAGGACCCTTAGAATTTACAGCATGCTAATATGCCTTTCAGAAATGTAAAACATTTTATGCTTACTGGCATAACTCAGAGTAATTCATGTCCTTTTCAAGTACTTCACAATGGTTAGATTTACACATGGCACCAAACTATATGATGCCTTATTTGATTTTGACTTAATAATCTATGTGAATCTCAGCTACTGTACCATGGTTTTATAAATCATGACTTATAAGCACAATAATCAAATATTTGCAGTATTTATTATTTGTATCTTTGAATATATACATACCTCCCATTACCACTTTTTGTCTCAAACATCGATAATTAAACAACAGATTGTCATTATGCATCTAATGAGGAAACAATTTCAAGATACTTTATAAATGCAATTTTCCAGTATATATGGGAATGGGGAAGGGAGCTCAATCACATCACTGATTATTTTTCAGTTAAAAAATAAAGTAAATCTGATGTCATCTTTTAAATTATCCAGATGTTACATTCAAATTTTATTTTGTCTGTGCATCATGAGTTTGTGTATGTATCAAAACAATTAAGGTGCTTTCTTTTCCCACCCTTTAACATATTCACATACTATATAACACATTGTGCTATTGACTATAGTAGCCTAGGACTTTCTTTCTGATATAAATCTATTTATAGCAATATAGAGCTATAGTAATACAAAGATAGTCATTTTTAAAAAAATGATAACGAGAGAATCATTTGTCTAAAAACGATAAATGATGATGTAATCTTTATTTTTAGAACTTCTATGGGCTTAAGATTCCTTTAATATCAGATGTACCCACACTACGCATGGCAACTGCCTTTTTAATCTCATCTTGTATATATATACAATGACAATAAAGATTATTATTACTTATTATTATATTTTCTAGTTCCAAAAGATGAAAAATATAGTGTACCTACCTGAGCAGGAAAGAACCAGAAGAAAAGGTTACTATTGTAAGTCATGTTGACTGTCAGATAGCCTGAATAACTCTTCACATTAGGTCCTGGGAAATGTTCCACGAGGCTTAGTTGCCTTCCTTTGAAAGAATGATCAATCATTATCATTTTTTTAAATGAAGGATTGGACAAGAATTTAAGAGTCTGAATACATATATATTTGTTTTCGTAGATTTTCATGGGTACAGGTAGGCAGGTTTAGGCGTGTTCGGGTCTTTTCCTCTCAATCGTACACGGGAAAAGACCCAAACACGGGTATTCTTCGGGTATTTTCCAACATCTTAATATTTGTGCTTTTATTATAGTGACATTTCGGCAGAATCTCATCTGCCATCCTCAATTTTAAATAGGGCTTGTAGGGCATTTTTTTCTTCCTTGTGCAAGTTGCTTTTGGATGCTTTGCTTGTGCATAGGATATTCATGACTTGATGTTTTATTGTATCAGCTTCATCTGTATTCAGTTTAGTTAGGCTGGATTCTACTCCGCATATGATGGATTCTATGGGGATTTTTTTGGGTGCTATTGCATAGTTGAATCCTTTGGTTAGGACATCTGTTTCAGTTTTAGTGAGTTCTCTATTGGAAAGGTTGTGTACTAATTGTTTTAGTGGTGTTGTGGGTTGTTGGGGGCTTTCTTATCATGTTCTAATTTCTTTAGTTTCTTTAGGAGTTTATCATTTTTGTAAGTGGTTTCCATTTCAGCTCTCCAAGTTGTGAGTTGTTTTATCTTATCCCAAACTAGGGGGTGGATTTTGTTGCTCATATTTGGATTTTGTTGAGATTCTTCCGAAACGTCGCTATAATAAAAGCACAAATATTAAGATGTGGTAAAATACCCGAAGAAACCTAAATACCATACATATAAATACCAGCGAAAACGTAACATACACACACACACACACACGCACACACACTATATCTGACTTGTGCATACGAAGTTTAACATTTTCATTAGTCCAATCATTTTAATGTATGGTTGTTTGGCTTGTTTGAGCCTCACTCAATGAACAAGAACTGTCATGGGCCACATATAAAATATATATGATGTATAAAAATAACAAACTTCCTTTATCTTTTAATATTTTTTATTATCTTGTGGGGCCACATTACCAGCTGTCCAGTGCCACATGAGGCCTGTAGAATACGGTTTGGACATAACTACTCTAATGTTTACACAATTACCTAGAAAAAAATATTTACTTGTAAAAAAATAAAAAAATATTTTAATGTTTTAATTATTTAAATTTTGTACCAGTTTTACTAATTAAGAAGCAACAGTGAAAAATTGGGATAAACATACTGAGGTACTCAACTTCATTTAAGTATTATGATGATCTGGGTTGTTTATAAATATACTTTCTCTTGCTGTAATGATGGATTTTAAAAAATGCTTGTTTAGGTTACAAGAAAGACAAAATGAATGAAAAAGCCCAACTTTTGGTAATTTGCCAGTAAGTATACTGGCTCAGATTGATATGACAACAGTTAAGAAAGTTTACATCCTCCTTTTCATGGGAAGTCACACTTATACCTATCACACAATGCTGGCTTTGCGTTCTTAATTTAGAGCTTTAAGATTAAAAAAAAACTTCACTTAAAAGATGTAACAATAGTAAGTTTGCACCATTACCCCGCACTTATGAAAAGTATGAAAGGATTCCAGTTCTTCTGATTTCCTGTAAAACAGTATTGTCTTTTTGGCAACTGAAAACACAATACATTTAAAAGTTTTGTTTTCTTCAACTAGTATCCATACAGATATCCAGATTGCAACATGACCTCTGGCAAATGTTAAAAAAAAAAGACTGAAAATCTGTCTGCATTTTTACTCTATGGACCTGGGTGGTCCAGAATCCAAACAATGATAGAAAGGGAATAAATGTAAAATACATTCCTCCAATTCAATTTACATTTATGTAAAATTCCAGTCAAACATAATGCTAAGTTTAAAATACATTCTAAAATCTTACTGTTGTAACCACTGGATTTTAATATGAATAAGTATAAACAAACAAACATATGGCAATGAAAAAAGGTGTGGTGGTTATACATGTACTTTTATGCAGTCACAACTGGGAACAGCTGCCACAAAAGGAGGGAAATTGTAAAAGTCACAGCTGCTTGAGCAATCCAATAAAAAGTGCATTTTACAAAACTTCTCTTGGGAATCCTTTGCAGTCTTAGATTCATTATGTGTAGACACTACAGAAAAGCTGAAGACACTGGAAATATTATTTTTCTGCATGATTTAAGTTTTTTAAAAATGTCATCTTTATAAACCAATTTTACCTTCCTCAGTTTTACCACTTTCAATATAAGGTGTTAGAAACAGTGGTTGTCCAGGATCTCCTTGTGATGGTAAAGTATATTTCAGTCTTCTAAAAATACTCCCCATGGCACTCCATTGTACATGGTAACTGCTTAATTCTAAGAAGAAACTCAGGCTTAGCAAAGCCAGTAAAGCCGTTGTTATCTTGCACATCTTTTTACTTGGTTGCCTTGAAAGGAATCAAATAAAGCACTAATTAAAAATGAAAATTGGCTACAGTGGTCTTGTTGAAACAATCCAGATTCCAGTGTGCCAACAATATTTCAGGACGGAATGTGATGTTTACTACAGAATTACTTCCTTTTCTTCTCCTACAGGTAGTTCTCACTTAACAATGGTAACTGGGACTAGCAAGTTTGTTACTAAGCAACATGATCATAAGAGGCAATTCTACAATACCTCACTGACTTATGGCAATCCCAGTTAACCATTGTTAGATGATTCTCATACACTTATAGTATCTTATAATCAAGTGCTCACCATTTGCGACCTCCTGACGAATTCCCATTGTCTTTTCTTGTTAGAAGTGAATGGATGCTGCAACATCATAATTGTGAGCCAGTTGCTAAACACCTGAATCACAGTCACATGACTGCGGGGACAACTATGAGGAGTTGTCATAAGTTCCCTTCATTCAGTGCCATCATAACTTTGAATGGCTGCTTAGGAAGTGGTCGTTCAAGGAGGACTACCTGTATCAGTAACAATTAAGGTGCCTGTAATTGTGACATAATCTTGTATATATGGTTACTACAGCTACCATGAAAATGATCAAACTTTATCTAATCAAAAAATAGTTCAAGGAACTATTACAATTATATTATGCCACAACACTGTGATTTGTCTCCCTATCCATTTCTGTACCAAATTTAAATATAAATGGCAGTATTATAAAGCCTAATCAAGTTCAGCTTCTTCCCACTCCACATGCCCAAGCATCTGTGCCATTCTGTAGATCATTTTCAAGATCTTGCTAGGGATTCCACAAAGTCAAGAAAGGCATTTTTCCCCCCAGAGAGCTTTCCTATGATCTTGAACACTACTACTTTAAGATTAAATATTATATTTCAACTCCTGCTCTCTGATTTCATCTGTGGATGCATTACTCAGAAGTATTGTTAGGGATGGTACAAAAGTACTCTTCAGTAAATGCTATAAGACAGCATATTCTCTTGCCTTTGTATGCAAGATGATCCACTGTTGTACTAACAGAACTGGGATTTTTTGGCTCCCTATATAGATCATCAAAAAATCCCAGGTTCTAGATCAGGGGTGTCCAACCCTGGCAACTTTAAAACTTGTGGACTTCAACTCCCAGAATTCCTTCTGGGAGTTGAAGTCCACAACTCTTAAAGTTGCCAAGGTTGGACACCCCTGTTCTAGATAAAAAAAAATTCCCCAAAGAAAATAGGACAAACAACACATTTCCAAGGAAATTACATAGCCATGTCTACAACCTTTCTAGTGGTCAAACTCTAAGGACACTTTACTGGTTTAAATTATTCCAAGTTTTGAGTCCATTGGGATATTCATTGAGGACAACTCTGAGTTTTATCATCCAAACTTCAAATAAGGGTTAAACTAGCTTGATCTACTTCCATAGGCCTCCAAAAAATGAAAACCATATTCTTAAATATAAATTTACACGAGAATTCTAGGTTCCTTATACTATATAGAGATTTATGTTTGTAACTATACAAATAACCAGTAATAAGCACCATATGTAATATAAAATTCAGATGCTTGGCAACTGATTCATATTTATGACCGTGTCTGTGTCCCAAGGTCATGTTTCTGGCCAGCAAAGTCAATGGGGGAAGACAGGTTCACTTAACAAACAGATTACTAACTTATCAACTGCAGTGATTCACTTAACAACTGAGACAAGAAAGGTTGTAAAAAGGGGCAAAACTCACTTAACAAATGTCTCACTAACAAAAATGTTGGGCTCAATTGTGGTCATAAGTCAAGGAGCTGTATGACCTTTACATAGCATAGTATCACTTAGCCAAAATTACAAAATGTACGTCATGATGATACAAGCTCCACATTTTCATATTTGCATTGCAATGTCAAAAAACATGTAAACATTGAGGTAAATATCACAGCACAAGTTTTATCCCTTGATACTCCTACACCCACAAGACCATGACTCCGTGTCACCTACCCAACAGCATTCCATTGCACCATCTGAACTTCTTTCACTATAGCTGGCAGATGGGTAAAAATAGTAACTTTCGGAATTATTTATTTGATTCAGTTTCATTCCAAGCGATACTGTTTTCCTGCTAGCAGTTTTTCTTAAGCAGATTGTTTATACTATGTGCTTTTAAGGCTCTGCATACTGTTCCACAAGTCTTTTTGGATGAATATAAAATAAATGAATGCTATTAAATTTTAAATGAAAAGAATTCCCAGAGATTGACTATACAGTTAATATCATGTTTAATTCATCCTTACCTCAACTCTCTCTGTAATGTGATTATATTAGTGTAGTTAACAAGGCTGAAGATCTAACGAAAAAACATCTCTCGTTATATTGACATCAGGAGACACCCAGCCTGCTGTGTTATACCTGCTCAACTACCATTCTTTAGTGATCAAGAGGACTTTGTCTGTGGTGAGAAATGTAAGGCCCCACTTCTGATGTGTGTTAAGCATATGAAAACCACTCACCTTTATAATTAGGCTTTCCCCAACATTAACTGACAATAATATTTGTCTTTTAATGGATTGATTTCATTCTGGATATTGTTTGGGTTCAGAAGCTACTTTAGTATTCAATTTAAATCAAAACATTAGTATGATTAGTAATAGTAATTATGGTTACCTGTGCTTGATGTGTCATTAATGAGCTTGGAGGGAAGACTGAAACATTTCTGGTTTTAGTTCTTTCTCAACAAAGTTCAGTATTTTAAGAAAATGTTCTTGCTTTTAAAATCATTTAGAAATGAAAGGTACAACATTAGATCTCCAGTCATACTGGAATGGAATGGATTTTCAATCAACAGTAACAGAAATGCTTTTAGACTTCTAGGTAATTCTACCCAGGAAACACAAATGAAAGAAGCCCAGATTCAATCAACAGCTATTCCAAATGTACAGAGTTGCCTTCCATTATAAAAAAAAATCTGAACTTGTGATTTCTCAGTACTACAGATCAAAAATACTGTACTTCCTCTCAATTAAACAAAGTTTAAAAGAGGATTGTCAAATGAGTAATGTCTACTTGTGTTACTGAAAAATTAAATTAAAAACATTTTAATGATTCTTTATTAAGATAATTTTAATTAAACTTTTATGTAAAAGGGTTACGTTCTAAGTTCTTTTTGAAAATATAATATAATAATTGTCAAAAGAGAGTATTAAAAGTTATCTATGACTGCTTTCCATATTGTGCCACATACAATTAATCCAGGATCAAGAGTTCTCACTTCTCTGTCCCCAATAAGATATGATTCTTTAACCCAAGTACCAGATTTGCTTTCCTGTGCTTTGTCATACATTCATGTGAAATAGTAAGCTTGTGAATTAATGCTTAGTTGCATTAATTTACAATAAGGAAATATGACTGTAAAAATCAAGAACAGAATTTAGTGTGTAAGATTGTTGAGTAATTTTTCCAATTTCTTTAAAAAATATTTTAACCCAAAGAAATAACTATCTGGTATTATTAAATGTCACAATCCTTATTGGCACTTTTTTATACTATATAAAAAGTTTATATATAGTTGTTCTAATTAGTAGGTTGCATTGCCACCTATGGGTTTTATATGTAGTACATTCTTGATGATTTGATATAATATTTGCAAATTGGGTTCATATACAGTATTGCATTGAACTGTAATGTGGTTTACTTGTCTTAGCCTATTATATAAACTAACTTGCTGTCATTGGTCAGCAATTTTTGTCTGGATTCTAGCAGTATACATATAATATACATTGATTTTCAAGTAGTGTCATATTATATGTATACTGCTAGAATCCAGACAAAAATTTATTAGCACAATAGTACAATCATCAAGGAGATTCTGATTGAAATCCAGCAATTCTTATATAGGGAAAATTTAAGGTAGGCTAATTAGCACCTCAAGTGAATTGAACTACATTACATGCTATTGGCATGATCAATGATTGGGAAGTGTTGAAATTGTAACCCAAAACTTCTAAAATATTCAGGATTGTGAAAACAAATATTTGGTAAACAAATTCTTTTTTATTCTCTTCTGCATACAATTGCTTACATCTGTATACAACTGCACCACTGGAGTAAATTGGTACAGAAATGAAAGTATTAGTCCCAAAGAAAGAGGCATGTATTTCAAATTACCCTTAGACTTTTGAAATATTATAGGCAATTCAAGTTGTATTGATTTGCAAATAGTATGGTTAGATGATCTCTTATTACATATATTTGGTATAGTAGCATATCCAATCAAAAAATGAGAGATACAAAAGCAGAATGATGGTGCTAAAAGTGTATTAAGACATTAATTCCAGTTCCAATCAGTCACTCAGGCAATTCCAGTTCCAATCACTCAATCAGTCACTCAGGCACTATGTATTAAAATAATTCATTACTGGCAGTGATTAAGCAGGAAATAATATCAAGCTATTGCGATTTTTTAAAAATTGGGACTAGTGAATAGCTAAACTAAATGGCATCCAAAATATGTCTTTTCTAGAATCATCCAGGGTGAGATTCTACCGGTTTGGACCGGTTCTATAGAACTAGTTGTTAAGATTCTGCACAGTTCGGAAAACTAACAAATCATGCCCCTGGATGGCCCCGCCTCTCTCCGCCTATCCCTTCCTTCCCCGCCCAGTCAGTCCTTATCGCACATGCCTGACATCGCTAACTGCATTTCCCCTCACCCAGTCACTCCTTAAGGTATTCCTTTTTCCCCCCTCCCAATGATCAGCTGCTCCGATGATCAGCTGTGCTGGGATCCTACTCAGTCTGATTCACCCAGGAGGCTTCCCTGAGGCCCAGGAAGCAAAAAGGGGTGTGGGGGGAGCTGTGGGCCCCCATGCTCCGTTGTTGGCCTCCTGGGCCTCAGGGAAGCCTCCTGGGAGCAAAAACACCCCCCAGGAGCTTCCTGAGGCCCAGGAGGACAAAAAAAAAGGAGTGCGGAGGGGTACTGTGCAGCCCCACCAAGCTCCATCTTTTGCCTTCCTAGGTCTCAAGGAAGCCTCCTGGGAGCAAAATTGCCCCACAGGAGGCTTCCCTGAAGCACAGGCGGCCAAAAAAAAAAAAAGGGTGTGTGTGTGGGGGTGTGCCACACCCAACTAGTCACATGGCCATGCCCACCTAGCCACTCGCACCTAGCTCCACCCACAGAACTAGTAGTAAAAATATCTGCATTCCATCCTTAGAATCATCTATTTCCATGCCCTTTCAAGATTTTCACTTCTAGCCCTTCTTGATATGGCTGGATCTGGGGAAATGTGCTGGAAAAGTCACTGAACTACAGAAGTGAGATGAAAATTAATTAATTAATTAATTTTTCTGCCTTTATTATTTTTATAAATAAGACAGTGAACATATCTATGGATCCAATTCCTATAATTCAATCGTACACAGCTATCCTAATCAAGCAATTAAGACAATGTAGATCACTTTAAACTTTTTTGTCATTAAAATGTAATAGTGGACAGTGCTGATGCTTATTCCAGCTGCCAATGTTTCTATCTATTTTTCTTTATAATTTTACTATTTTTGTTGGCTTCTGAAGAAGTGGTGCAAACCTGGAATTTTATTACGTTCTGTCTGTCTAATGAAAGTTTGAAAACATCTGTTGCAGGCCATTTATGTATAAGCAAGGAGAGCTCACCAAATGGATTGTCGTAAGATCTCAAAATACCCAGTGTATATGTGTAACAAAGAGAGATTATTTTTATGATAAAGAAACTAAAGAAAGAATAAGTTTTATCACAGTATTTCAAAACTGTTTAAAATTGCATTTGCTTGGTGTTAATCTAAAGACTAATCTTTCAACCAAATATAGAAATATTTGCTGGGGGGGCGAGAAGAAGAAGTTATGAAAGTGAAGAAAATGTAAGAAGCGTGCTTTTTTCATGCTACAGTCAAAAACATTAGCAAGCAGATGCATATAACTCTTCAGTTTTAGACACAACACTGATAACATCTTTAAACTGCACAATTATTTGGTATTTCTGTTCCTGCCTGGCCTTTAGATCAATTCACATATGCTAAATTATCAAAACAAAAATGTAGCAATTTTTCTCAACCTGGTGCCTGCCAGATGTGCTTGATACTGAAAACATTTGGAGAGTACTCCATTGGGAAAGGCTAATGTAAGAGAAATACACACATATCAGCCAGTTTGATCAATTTGTTTTTTTTCCATCCCAGTGAAGCATAGGGCTGTCCAAATAAACTGAATGAACCTCTAATATATAAAAACTATCATGGAAGGAAGCATAAGTTCTGATCATACTGTAAATTAGTGGTACTCCCTCTAGTGGCTTATATCTATCCAGGATTTTTTTCTTTTCAAAACATAGGCTTTGTATTTTGTAATCATGCTACTTCAAAGATGGCCTCAATCAATTAATGGCAGGAAACCTTGAATAGTTTGAACAGAATGCATGGTCCTCACAGTTCTCTTTTCCCATACTGTTGCTTTCCTTTCTCCTCCTTCCCCTCTATTTTTCTCTTTCTCAGTATCTATCCATTTGTTCCTGATTAAGCATCTTCTGGTTTCCTAAAGTATCTTTAAGCCCAAGTATTCGATAATTGTAGCTAAACAGGAAGGTTTGAGCCTAGCTTACTAATTATGATAGCAGGGCAAAGAAATGTTCTTTTTTGCAAGATTGCAATTATGACAGCATCATGGTGTCTTTTTATTACTGATGCTAATTAGTTAATTAATTTTAAAAAAAACTTTGGAGGTTTTATCCCAATATCACAGGTCACAGTCCTTAGTGCTACATGGTAAACCATGTGCAGAATAGTTTCAATAAGTCACAACTGACTTTGCCCAAACCAAATAAACTATAGTATGATTTAGAATTGTACATGAAATCTACATTTGCCCAACCAGGCAATATTCAATTCTGAAGTACTTCTCTGCCTTTTTTCCAATCTACCTTATTTTGGGGATAACATTTAAATAGCTTCATATTTTTTTTATGGAATAAGAGTTTCAAATACCTGCCTCCTGCTTTTCATTCCCCATATCTTCTCTCTCACTTTTCTTAAATCCCAAGCATCATGTTGAAGAATTTCCCACATTACCGAAAACCAGTCAGCTTTATTTTTGGAAGTAGCTCTTTATTTGAACTTCCAAATATATTTAATATATTTAACTTCTAAATACAGGTAGTCCTTGACTTACAATCACAATTGAGTCCAAAATTTCTGTTGTGAAACGAGACGTTGATAAATGAATTTTGCTCCATTTTAATGACCTTTCTTACCACAATTAAGTGAATCACTGCAGTTAAGTTAGTAACATGGTTGTTAAGTAATTCTTGCTTTGTCATTGACTTTGCTTATCAGGAGGTTGCAAAAGTTGACCACATGACCCTAGGACATTGCAACTGTCATAAATATGAATCAGTTGTCAAGCATCTGATTTTTGATCACATGACATGCTATTAATGATCATAAGTGTGAAAAACGGTCATAAATCACCTTTTTCAATCCCATTGTAACTTTTAATGGTCACTATCTGTGGATTACTTTCATGAGAATCAATTTAACATAACACTTGAGTTTATAGTCAGAAAATTGTCCAAAGAGGGGACATTCTTTTCCATATATACTAATTGTGCTGTCCAGCCAGTGTATGGGAATTGGATTGTTAGGTAGCAATTGTAAATTCTGTCTGTAATAAAAACATTGAGTAAAATGTTATCAAAGGCTATGGAGTGCACGTGTAAAATTGTTGTTTTCATCTGAAGGGATTTTGAAATGTTACATGCACTTTTGTAAGGACAGATGAGAAAAAACTTGAGATTGGCCACAAATGCTTCAAATAATTGTTCCTTGTAAGGAGACAAGACAACACTCTCAGGCAGGTTAAGTGTTTTGGAAAATGAGGGAATAGCCATATTGCTCAAAACATGGTGATCTGAATGTGCATGCTTCCTTTTCTAATCACTTTCAGAAATTGCTTGCTAATTTTTTTTCAGCTATTAGAAATCTTTGGATACATACATTTTACAGCACCTGGTGAGTTTGCCTCAATTCTTAACAAAGTTTTAACTATAATTTTAGATTTTTTTTTTAAATAAATAGCAAAAGAGTGAATAAAACTTTGATTTTTGAGAGTTACAAATAGAATATAAACATCAAGATAAATTTAAAATAAGATTTTGGAATTAATTATAAAAATTCTTTCCTATGGAAAATACTTTTGTTTTTTAAATTCTTTTAAAAAACAAAGGTAAGATTTTATAAATTGTACATTAAGTAGATAAAAGGAATTAGAAGTTAATTAAAGGAGGACACTCAAATTCAACTTACTAAGAAGAATGAAGCAAAATATTTTAATATGGGACATACTGAAGCACATTTTTGAACAATGGACTAAAAATTTTTTTAGAAGTGTGCACCTCTGTAGATAGTGTTTAACAGATGTTATGGAAAATGAATGATCAGACATGATTCAGACTAATTTGAAAATGGGTTTTAAAATGACAACATGAAAGTTGTTACACTGAATATATAACAAACCAATTGACATCTTAATAATTGAAATGGATATGCTTATTTGCAAATAATCATATCCATTTCAATTGCATACTTTTCCTTTATAGGATTTATATAAGCTTTCGTGAGTTTTGTGAGGAGGAAGAAAGAAAAAAATGAAAAGAAATCAAGTTCTAGAACATGCGTAAGAACATCAATTTGCTGTCCTAGAAACCAAAACATTGCAGGTTCTAGTCCAGCCTTAGGCATGAAAGCTGCTGGATGTCATTCGGCCAATCATTTTCTCTTAGCCCAACCTACCTCACAGGATTGCTGTGGAAAATAAAAAGAGCAAGGAGTATTAGATATGTACACTATACTGAGTTACTTATAAAGTAACAAAGGCTTATAGATAAAAATGTAATAAATAAAAATAATTTGAAAGATCAAGACTGTTAGAAGTAAAAAGGAACAAAAAGTTGGTTTATTTGAGATTAAAATGGATGTTATCTCAAATAATGCTTAATGGACTTTTGCAGACATCAGAATAAAGTAACAAGTTTTTGTTTATAGATAAGAAATGGGGGTATGAGAAAGATCCTTTATTGTATTCTTAAGAGAAGTAATTAGTAAAATTGCTTATATTTTTGTGATGGAGGAAAAATACTTTATATATATTTATTTTTTCTTTACTTACTAAAACAGGTTGTCAATTTAAACTGGTATTTAATAAGTCAGCTATACATTCAACCTTACACAACTTCTTCAAATCTTGTTTCCTGTCACAAGGGCCATTAAAGAATCACCACTCCTAAATTTAGAGTGCCAGTTCCCTGTTTTTAACTCTTAGGGGCCTTCTTTTAACTCAATCTGGGGCTTCAAACAACCGTATTTATTAGGAAATCCCCACTAATCTCAATGGAATTTGAGTACAATAGGCTTATGGTGGTCAATGTCCAACATGTTTGCTTTGAATAAAAGGAATTATGTTTTCTCTATTTGAACCAGGCCTCTTTCAAGGCCCTCTCAGTGGAAGACACAGGAGGAAAGGAAGGAAAACGACTCCTCGATATTCCATAATAAAACCCAATTCTGAGAAATTGCTAACTCGGGAAGGCCTTTCCAGTCAAATTGGAAGACCTAGGAAAACCGCAATAGCGTTCTTTTTCTAAATTAAACGCGGCAATCCCACATACTTTACAGCAGGTTTTTCCAATCCCACATATTTTACAGCAGGTTTTTCCTAGCCGCGCGGAGGCGATCCTGCGCTTCGGAATTGTTCCGCCTTTCTTCACACATCTGGGAAAGGCAGCGCAACCGGAGCGGATCCAATCAGCATCTGCAAGTCCAAGCAGAGCCTTCCGTTCCCTCACTTCCCGGATGCCAGTTGTTTTCCTATGACGGCTGGCTGCGCTAATTTACAAGAGTTTACTCATTCCTTTAATTCCAATGTACCAATATAATCGACTTCACTCACCAGTTTCAAACGATCTGGAATTCTGGGGGAGAAAAAGCCGACAGCAATTCTTTGAACCTATTATAACTCCATTGCTGAAAGGAAAGGCGGGCGCAAAAAAATCAGCCTGCCCACTTTTTAACCCGTGGCGCACGCCCTTCTTTAAAGTGAAACGGGCTTACCGGCATTGGAATAGGCTTCAAGTCTTCAATAACTCGTGCCATGTTTTTGTGTAAGGTCCCACCAGATCTGGGTTGATACCAGAAGACAGCAAGCTGTGTAGAAAATGGTAACTCTAATGGTTTGGATTTTTGCAGTTCATATCTGGTATAGCGAAACTAAACAAAAATGAAAGAACTAGGTGTAAAGGAAGATTTTGGAATTAGAAGCTGCATTATGGATAATTAATTACGTGTTTTAAAATCATGAAGTATTTCCCATATTGGTCACATAGTGAACCACACAAAGGTGCAAGGAATCTCTTGTCTCCTAGTTTTGGATTTATATAGGACATATAGCTCAAACCCCATTAGGTTATTGGAAAAGTAGGGCTGTATCACAAGAGTTTAATGAATTCATCAAATGAATATGGCAGAATAAGTAAAGGCTTATTAGGAATACAAGACCCTTAAAATGGATTTCAAAATGGGTAAATAGATAAAATCCTAGATAGTATCCTTCTAAAGACCTAAATTTGACATTTGACAACAATTACAGATACAGATAATCAGAGTTGGAAGGGACCTTGTAGGTCATCTAGTCCAACCCACTGCCCAAGCGGGAGACCCTACACCATTTCTGACAAATGGCAGTCCAATCTCTTCTTGAAAGTCTCAACTGATGGCGCTCCCACAACTTCCAAGGGCAAGCTGTTCCATTGGTTGATTGTAGCATGAATATCATCAATTCACACATGAAAGCTCTGAAGCATCAGAAAATAAATGGTTAACATTGGTGGGCTTCAGCCTGAGTAAAGGGGTATTATTATTATTTTTTGGCCTCCCCTCCTGGGTCAGTATGAACACACCTGTTGATGCTTTTATTTATTTGCCTTGTTGGCTATTTTGGGCTGGCTTGGTGTGCTGTTTCTCAACCTTGAGCACTTCAAGATGGGTGGGCTTCAACTCCCAGAATTCCCCAGCCAGTTATTCCTGGAGTTGAAGCCCACCCATCTTCAAGTGTCCAAGGTTGAGAAAGACTGGCTTAGTGGCACTCATCTCCTCCATCTATTAATTTGGTATCTGTTGAGCACGGGTGATAGGAAACTGTCCAGCAGAATCAATGCATTTCTTTCTCTCTCTTATCTTTTCTTCTTTTAAAGGCATCAGGATTTATTTCCCTTCTAGGACGGCTGAGGTTATTAGATATCATGAAATTTGTGCATCCGTTGTGTTGGAAACTTCTTTTAATCATTTTACTCTTTCCAGATGTTGAGCCAACTGCATCCTACATTTAATAAATGTCACCAAAATCACAAAAAAGAAAGAAGGAAGAAAAGAAAGAAAGAAAATAAATGGTTAAAATCATCCCATAATCTTTGTTTAAAATCCAAGGCAGGTTGCAAACACTATCCTATTTAATCAGTCCCGACAGAGAAATTAAACAAAATGGACATCTACTGGGGGGGGGAGTAATTGTCAACAACTTGAAGATGGCATAACATTTCATCCCTGAGCAATCTTTCAAAATATCCAATATCCATTATTCCAACTTTAGGATCTGGAGACAATTTTCTTCATGCTCCTCCTTCCCATTTGTCATCACAAAAATTACTCTGAGTAATCTGAGCGGGAGAATGGAGTGAGAGTAAGTATCCACAGTTGAAGGTGGATTTGAGACTAAATAATTCCCAATGCCAATCCCACATGTTAATTCCTAAGCTACCCCAGCTCTTTTCTAGAATGAATAGAAATGTTAAGAATAGGAAAAGCTGAAAGCATAAATATTCATGCAAATAAAAAGGAAACCAAGAAGATTTAATCATTTGTAACCCTGTAATTTTCCAGGGGTTCATTCATACCTTTGGCACACTCCATTATAAACTCTTACATTTTGTTGAATGTATATATTCCCACATCAGTGCCTCAGCCAATGGTAGCTGCTGGAAAGAAGCTGAAGCTACATCCAAGAATATAGCAAAAAAAAAAATTCCATTGAAAATGAAAGAAAACCCCTTATACCCACAGAGGAGAAGCCATAAAGAGTCAATAAATTGCAGTACTCTAACTGGTCCACTGTAGAGCTTGTGCCCCCCCTATCAGATAATGAAGTCCCAACCTAAGTGACCATGTCTACTCTGGCTATCAGAGTGACCAAATCTTCCCACAGCAAGGGATTTTTGTGCCTGGCTTGTGGAACATTAACATCATAGAACTACTTTCATGAGTCATGAATATCTATGCAGACTGCCTGCATTTTTTGCCCTCCCTTCTAAGCTTTCTTGCAAAGCTTCTACTGTCAGTGGGCAAATAAGAAGCAGGGAAGGGGTTCCCCTCTATTGCTTCTACTTTCCTTCCCAGGCCAAGTCCAGATCTTTTACTTTCCTATTCCACTTTTCTCTGCTGCATTTTTTTCTTCTGTGCTTCATAGTCCTCACAGTAGCATCACAAGGTCCACATACCCAAGCTAAGATTGGATCCTTCTAAAAGTAATGGCTATCTGTTGTTCTATTTGTCGGAAGGAAAATGAGTCATAAATAGATATTATGACTGGGTATTGCTATGACTGAGTAACAATTACATGTGTGGTGCTTAACTGGAAATCTGATGTCACTCCCATAACTCTGGATAACATTGATCAGAAATAGACAATCTTTGTTACCCAATCAGACACCTCTTTTGTCAGACAGATGTTAATTCCTGAAACTGGTGTTCAATTTTAAAAGTTTGTAAGCTTGTTTGCTTTTCCATCTAACATTGGGATTGACATCTCAGGACAACTATACTTGAACAACCTTCTGGGGCATTGGAAGACATGTTACAATAACACAATCCACCAACTTTCATGCCTCTGTCTTCAGTCAATCAACAGCAGATTAAATTACAACTACATTTTTGTATTATGAGGAAAAAGTTGAGTGACTGGAATTGTGCTCATAACAGGTAGTCCTCTACTTACAACAGTTCCAATAATGGAGAATATTTATAGCTCAGGATTGAAATGAGAGGTCCTTGATGCTCTCTGAGCTTGGTTGCTTTCTTGCAGATGTTTCATTATCCAAACTAGGAATCATTGGTGCTGATGATGTTACCTAGTTTGGGTAATGAAACACCTGTAAGAAAGCAGCCAAACTCAGAGAGTCCCGAAGATCTCGTCTTACAAAAGTTCATTTAATGACTGTTCAAAGTCACAATAGCAATAAAACTGACTTATAACCATTTTTCATGTGACTGTTGTTGCATTCCCATGGTCATGGATCAAAATGCAGATGCTTGGCAATTGACTACTTATGATGGTTGCAGTGTCCCAGGGTCATTTGATCACATTTTGCAACCTTCTAACAGGCAAAGTCAATGGGGAAGCCAGATTCACTTAACAACTCTAACTTAACAATTGCAATGATTTACTTATCAGCTGTGGCAAGAAGGTCATAAAATGGGGCAAAACTCACACAAGAACTTTCTCACTTAGCAACAGAAATTTTGATTCAGTTGTTGTAAATCAAGGACTACCTGTATTCTGCAACTGAAATGCATTATGATAACCAGAACCAGAAAATACATTTTATGTTTTCCTTATTCTGTCATTCTTTCAGGGTTATATCCTATTCCATTTCAAACTAAAAAAAAATATCAGGGAAAGACATAAAGTATGTTTGTTATCACTTCTTTTGTTTGAAGTTTAAGGCTGATGATTATAGCACCTTTGCCATAATAAACAGGTAGACTTTGCTTAATAACTACACTGTTTAGTGATTGTCCAGAACTGATCCCAACATGAAGAGGAAAAGTTTTAAATCTTTTAAAATCATCATTTTCAAAGTTACCCTACTATTTAAAATCCTACTTTTATTCTGGAGATCATGATGATGCACATCAAAGTCTTATCTCATCTTGTTATGCCGACAGCGTAATGTAAATTGAATTGGGAGATTGTTATCTATAGACTGGGCTATTGTATCTGGCTTATAAAAACTAGATAGGAGCAAAGATAGCCAAACATCATAATCATCATCATCATCATCATCATCATTATTTTTCGTTATCTAGCAAAATTTGTAGCCCTAACATTCAAAACTATAGTTAAATGCAGATATAGTGTCTCTAATCCTAACACCACATCTCACAAACTCCATAATAATTATTTGCATTATATGTAACAATGATTAACACAATGTGTCCAATCCCTGAAGCTACAAGTAGCCTACCATTTTTTTACCTAATGTTATGTACAATTTGGGCCAGGAGGTAAATATCAAGAAATTGAATTTTTGAATTGTAAGCTCCCAGAATCATTAATTGTCATGGTGGCTATAGAAATACACAAACACTATTTAAGCAGCATGAAACAGTACCTACTTTTCTTTAATAAACCTTCCTAAATTCTAAGTGCATGTCATGAAGGTTATGCTAGCTCATTTTCCCTTAACTGCACAGACACTAAAATGGAAGAATTAACTTTCTGTACAGTATTTTTGGTGCCATCTAGTGGTCCCTAAATTCTTCCAGACTAACATGTAATCTTTATAGGTCTGTATTACAGTGTAAACCACATTCATTCAAGAATGATAAAATTACTTTCTTTCTATATAAGAGGTGCAGTGTGCTGGTTAGCCTGGGACAAGAAATGCAGCTTGGAGTGTTCTTAGATTGTGACAATAATTCTTGCTTTTTTAAGTATAATTTCTCAAATAAGTCATGATTAATAAACCACACTAGTTGGATGCATGCAACATCAAGCTAAATGATATAAATTTAAATATTGTGACGCTAATAAAAGAATCAGGAAAACATATATATAGCCATTTGGAAATGAATAGCAATGTCATATAATACCATTATTCATTAAATATAAAAGTTAGTGAATTACTTAGAAAGGGGCTATATAATTTTCCTTAACATGATTGAATTGCAACTATGCTATACCTCACTTCTCTTTC